AACAAATGAGTAAAGGAGGTAAGTTTCTGAAACAAAACTGTGGTGCGAAGTGAGTCTCACTAGATTGAGACAGTAAAACAAGGTCTTTCTAGGGAAACTTTCCCACTTGAAAAAAATTAAACTTAACCCTATTAATGTTGATTAACTAATGAATGCCCTTCATGAAAAGTAATTCGGACATGTTTATCGAACTTTGGTTACCACGACGACTATTTTTTTTTATTCACGAAGATATGGATGATATGTTCAGTTCTCGCGTTTAAATTGAGATGTTTTTCAAAACAGAAAAACCTTGCTTTTCATTAATATCTCTATGATAAATTTTGGGCTTTATCTCACACTGTGGCCCAGAGGGGTGAAAAGGCAAGTTTCTGTATAACTTTACGGCCACTAGTTGAGCATCACTTGAGGCGCATAAAGTAGACTTTTTTATCACCATGATGGCGCACAAAGTTGAAAAAAGGTGTCTTCTTTCAGCTTTATCGTGGCTCTAAGAAACAATAGATTACATGCAGTTTCATACCACGTCGATGTATTATTGCATTATTCGGTTACAGAATGAAGTGGTCCTCATATTTTCCATTATCGCGGAGGAAACCAATTGAAAGAGATAATTGAATAGATTCTTAATTGCTGGATGGAATATCAATTCTACCTCAGATTTTTCAAGGCTAGATGAAACGATTGTTTTCAATATCATGTCGCTCTAACAATTTTACCAATAAAACGCGATTTCAGGAGCATATTGTTAGCAGAATAGTAATGAATAGAGATATAATTTCTTTGAAAATTAATATCATTGGTTTTAAGTTTTTAAGACACTTAGAAAAGTACAAGAGATTTAAAATTAAAAATAAAAGCTAAGTTTTTCGTTTGTCTCACGATGTAGTCATGTGTGATGTACTGATCGCGATGTTTCGACTACATACTGCTAGTCTTCTTCAGGCGATGAGGTCGACTGGCCTGCGTGATATTATAAAGCATGATGCTCTGCTTTGATTAG